CAAACATCAGTGTTTGAAGCATAAAACATCTTAAGTATATAATCACTTGTCTTACTATTATTTTTCTCCTTATATTTCTCCCCACCAGCAGCTCCTCTCATTTAATTCTTTCTGTTCTCTTTTTTATTATCCCCTAATTGGATCTTGAGTTTAACAAACAGAACTGCACTTAGGCAAAAGAAACAAAGTTTAGTGTCTATTTAAGAGATCTGAATATTGAATCTGTTCCTTCCAAGTTGTTTGGTAACTCCTCCCTCATCCTTTTTTTGTGCCAATCTTGCGGCTAGAACTCAGGGCCTGGGTGCTGTCCCTGACCTTTTTTCACTTAAGGCTAGTGCTCTACCACTTGGACCACAACTCTACTTTCAGCCATTTTTTGGTGGTAAATTGGAGATAAAGCATCACATGGAGTTTCCTGCCTGGGTTGAGTTTGAACTATAGTACTCAGATCTCAGCTTCCTCAGTAGCTAGGATTACAGGAATGAGCTATCAACACTTGGCACTTCCTCTTCTTGAACCTCAGTTTTATTATCTGTAAAAAGTGAACACACATAACACATTCCTCACAAGGTTGTTGTCAGAAAATGGGACAGATTGGACATATGTCAGCAGTTCTTACTGTCTCTGAAATGCATCCAGCTCCTCCCATGAAGAGAAATCTATTTTCTCACTTTTCAAATTGAAATTAGCCTTGTGACTTGCTTTGATTAACAGAATGAGTACTGCAGCAGTATTGTGCACATATGACTTCTAATTTTAGGTCACAAAGGACCTAACAAGTATATTTTCACCCTTTTGAAAGCCAGCTACCAAGTATAAATGTCTGAATACTCCCAAGAAATGCCATATGAACTATGAGTGGCTTTGGAAGATAAATATTACAGAAGAGTGATAGATGACCAGCTAGCTGTTCAGACACTTGAGATGAGGTGCCAGATGAGAGAACAGCCATATTGGATTCTCCAGTCCCTAACCAGCTTTCTGAAGAAATATGACAACAGAAATGAAACATTCCTCACCAGATCTGTTCCAACTTCAGAATCATAAGCATAAACATAAATGGTGGTTGAATTAAACCAATAAGTGTGGAACATTTTGTTTCACAGAAAACAGATTTAAAAAAACAAACAAAATGAAATAGTGCCCCACCAAGTGGTTGGTAGGGTTAAGTGCTCAAGGCCTGATTATTCTTCATTTAAGTGTCCCCTGCTGTGTACTGGTGGCTCACGCCTGTAATCCTAGCTACTCAGGAGGCTGAGATCTGAGGATCGTAGTTCAAAGCCAGCCCTCGCAAGGAAGTCCATGAGACTCTTTTTTTTTTTTGGTCAGTCGTGGGGCTTGAAGTCTAGTCCTAGGTGCTGTCCCTCAGCTCTTCAGCTCAAGGCTATGGCTCTACCACTTGAGCCACAGCACTACTTCCAGTTTTCTGGTGGTTTATTGGAGATAAGAGTCTCATGGACTTTTCTGCATGGGCTGGCTTTGAACCGTGATCCTCAGATCGCTAGGATTACAGGCATGAGCTACTGGCACCCGGCCCATGAGACTCTTACCTCCAATAAACCACCAGAAAACAAAAAAAAACCCTGCTGGGTGCTGTGGCTCAAGTGGTAGAGCACTAGCCTTGAGCTAGAGTGCTGAGGGACAGCTTCCAGGCCCAGAGTGCAAGCCCCAAGACAAACAAAACATAAAAAAAAGTGTCTTATAAATACATTAAAAACAATAGTAAGAAAGATAAAACCACTTGTTTCCTTACCTTGGGGTTCATTTCACTTAACATCATCTTATCTCACCTTCTTCTAATATATTTAAGGTACCGCGTGACTTTTTGTTGCTTTGTATGTCCCTCCCCCACGGTATAAACCCCCCCTTTTTTTACTGTATTTGATGTTGGTATAATTTGGGGAGGGGAAGGGAAAAAAAACAAATTGTTTATATTGGGATACAGGTTGACCCATTGCAACAATGAGATGTACAAGATGTTATGTTGAAAAACGAACTTTACAATTTAGGCGGGGTGGGGGGAGGGAGTATAGTTGAGGAGGTGGGAGGGAAGGGATGGTAGGGGGAAAACAAAGGAGGAGACAATGCTTGATAAGGAATGTACTCATTATCTTGCTCATGTAACTGTAACGCCTCCTCTGTACACTATTTTCACAGTAAAAAAGTATTAAATACAAAAATAAATAAATAAAAGAGTCCCTTGGCTAGGCGCCAGTGGCTCACAGCTGTCATCCTAGCTACTCTGGACGCTGATATCTGAGGATCATGGTTCAAAGTCACACCAGGTAGGAAATTCTGTGAGACTCTTGTCTCCAATTTTTAAGAAGCTGGAAATAAAGCTGTGGAAGAACACCAACCTTGATTAAAAAAACTAAGGAACAGCAGCCAGGCCTGAGTTCAAGGCCCTCAATACTGGCACACACACACAAAATTGAAGTGTTTGTTGGCTTTCTTGGTTGGTGCTGTTCATCATCAAAGCTTGTTACTTTCACTACAACATAACTGAGAGACTTGACCTCTATTGTGACACGGACGTAAGGTAATGACCATCATCTCTATTTAAAGGCACCCATGAAGGTTACACAGGTTAAGGATGCACAGTTAAGTGACCTCCCTTTGCCCAGACTGTGCCTGTGTCACCTACAGGTGTACTGCTCAATTGATGCCAGGCAAAATGAATAGTAAGTCATTCAATCTACCCAATTCCAGCAACACAGAGAAGGAAATTAAGACATCAATTGTTTGTTATATGCCTGGCATTACTCATCACTGCTCAATGAATTAAATATATCATGTTCCCTATTTTCAGATTATAAACATGAAGGATAGAGAAGTTTTTTCCCACTCTTTGGGCTCCCTGGGAAGCACTGATAGTATGTAAGAGGCAACTTAAAAGATGCGTTGGGCCAGGTATCCATGGCTCATGCCTGTAATCCTAGCAATTATTCAGGAGGCTGAGATCTGAGGATCATAGTTTGAAATCAGTCCAGGCAGAAAAATCTATGAAACTCTTACCTCCAATTAACCACCAAAAAGACAGAAGTAGAGCTGTAGCTCAAGTGGTAGAGTGCTTACCTTGAAAACAAAAGCTCAGGGATAGCACCCAGGTCCTGGGTTCAAGCCCCAGGACAAACACACACACACACACACACACACACACACACACACACACAATGTTTTTGTTGGGTCCTTTGAATTAACTAAAACTCTCTCAACTTTGTATCTGTGCCCTTGGATCTGAGCTATTCTCTCATGGTCCCTTTGCAATCACCTTGTTTCCAAGAGGAAAGAGAAGATTCAGATAACCATCTTGTGTGGAAGGCAAGCTGCACCTCAAACAATACTTCCTTCTTATCATCTTAAAGAAAACAGTCTAAAATTTAGGAGACCACCTTGCTCCTTGTTCTGTTCCAGTAATAAAGGAACAACTTCTATAGAGTTACTCCAGGAACAAAGACTGAAGTAAAGAACAGCCAGGCCATACCTGTGATTATACACTCCTTGCCCCCAATTCTCCCTCCTTAACCTAAAACCAGTGTCTGTACCTCTGAAGCCTGTGAAAGCTGTATTGAAGTGCTGATTACATGGCTTCCATGTAATCAGTCTCCTTTCTTTGCCCCTCATCTTTATTTGGCACAACCTGGAAAGTGGCTGAACCTAACTTGGAACTCCTAGAATTTGGGCCTGAGGTCTAAAATCCCAGCCTCAATTACCGGATAGTAATTAGGGGGACCATGGATCAAGAATCATGGGAGAGAAGGAAAGCCAAGGTAATACAAGGCAAATGAGACAAGACTGAGTAGATAAAGATGGACTGTTGGGCAGTCCTAATGGCAGCTCCCTATGGAGGATGACAGATCTCTGTATCAATCACTCATTAGATAACTACTCCATGATTTCAAGTCCAGATTTAATCATCTCCCTGTTCAAGCCATTCCCAAATGCAGAAATGCCATTTATGTGGTGTGTGTGTGTGTGTGTGTGTGTGTGTGTGTGTGTGTGTGTATGTGTGTGTTGGTACTGGTGCTTGAACTCAGGGCCTGGGGACTGTTCTTTAGCTTTTTCACTTAAGGCTGGCTCTCTACCACTTGAGCCACAGCTCTACTTCTCACATTTTGGTCCTGGACTTTCCTGTTCAGGATAGTTCTCAACCAGGATCCTCAGATCTCAGTTTCATAAGTAGCAAGGTTTACAGGTGTGAGCCACTGTCACATGGTCCAAATGCAGAAATGTTGAAAGAAAAAAAATTAATCATGTGATGAAGTAGAAAACTCTGACCCCAAACCTGAAAGTTTCTCTTAAGCTATTTAATTCTGGGTAACTTATGGAAGCCTCTGAAATTCAGTTTATGTTTTATGGAAAATTATAATAAGAATACTTACCTGTAGCCAGATATAAGGTTGTGTGCCTATAATCCCAGCACTTGGAAGGCAAAGGCAGAAAATTGAGAATGTGAGAGGCTAACCTGGGCTACATAGCATGACCCTGTCTCAAAAACAATAAGAAAAAGTATAGTTAGGAAGTGGAGGTGTGGCTCAAGTGGTAGAGCACTACCCTTGAGTGAAAAAGGTTAGGGATAGCACTCAGGGCCTGAGTTCAAGCCCCAGTACCAACACACACACACATACCACATAAATGGCATTTCTGCATTTGGGAATGGCTTGAACAGGGAGATGATTAAATCTGGACTTGAAATCATGGAGTAGTTATCTAATGAAAAGCAGAAAAAATAGAAAAAGGAATAGCTTGTAAGACTGGTTTGAAAATCAAGAATGTGAGATAAAGCATTTTGCCTGATACAGAGTAGGTACTGAATAGCTTCTATGATAACTAGGAGAATTATTATGTTGTGGTATTCTATTTATAAACTGGAGGGAATAAAGAGCTATCCAGGAGAGAAAATGGTATTATATTTTCTGAATTATCATGTATTCAGTAGGCCCTCAAGTCAGTATTTACTCCAATGAACAAACGTTTATTGAAAAGGATTTATACAGACATAACACTCTTACCTTCAAAAGGCAGAGGAGCCTTTGTTATTATGAACACATACACTGTGGCAACTTAAAACTACAGTTAAGGAAAGAGGGAAAAAATATCTTCTCCCTAGCCAGGGACTGAGACCTAGAACTAAAACTTTTTCATTCAGTCAGCCCCCTTCTTCATTCTTTAAGTCTGAATGACTTGAAAAGGAGACCTAGCTAGGTTTGGTGCAGAGGAGAATTGTAGAACCTGGAGAACATGAGGCCTTTTCTTTTGGAATGAAGTTTCCTGCACAATCCACAGGAAAGAGGTGCCCAGCATCTATCCTGAGCTGAGGTTGCCTTATACAAGACAGACTTAGAAGAGAGAAGGATGAATGGAAATAAGTCTATCCACTTCATCAGTGTTTACTGATTGGTACTCATGTGAATTTAAGTCCACACCTTCTCTCCCCATGATATACCACTGAGCAGGTACCAAAGTAACCATTTTGAACACAAGCCAACATCATAATCATCACCGGGCCCTTCTCAGCCAAAAATAACTCCTGTAGGTTACGCCTCAGCCTCAATGTCTTGCTTGGGCAGTGAGTTAGGCAGGACCTATATACAGGGACTGGTTCTGTAATTCATTGTGGAGAAAGTCTAATCCAGCCCAACAGATCTCAGAATTTCCAGCCACCTAACCTGGTACTTAAGAATTTTAGCACATCTGAGAGACTTGGGTAGGGAGCTATAGGCTAACATCCAGGCCTCATAAATGATATTAAAAGGAAGATTTGTCTAAGCTACCTCTGGTACTTAAGGATGAGGATGGAGGTGGAGGAAAAGATGGCACTTAGTCTGTTAGGAAGTCCATCAAGAAGACTGCTGTCTCTTGGGAGCCTTAGACAAAAATAAATGGAAGAGAAACCAAGATATGAGCATTCCCCCTGGCCTCAGAGCCTATAGCTTCTTAAGACTTCAGGCATGAGGTACAAGCAACAGTCACTTCTGGGCTTTTGCCCTGCCTTTAACTCCAAACAGGAGCAGTGAAATGAAAATGGGAGAGAAGGCCTCATCATCAGATACAGTCGTTAGCACCTGAATCTCATTTCTTCTTAAATCAGAAATCCCAAGAGCACGAAAAAATGAAGCGCAAAGTGGGGGGAGGGGGAAGGTGTTGTGCTTCTATCACATTAAATAGGAGACTTGGTGAAGTAGGGAATCAGGACATCAAGCACTCTGCCAAGGGGAGGGCTTATGATCAGCTGAAGTCTACATGTTCTCCTCTTCATTCGTCCTGCTTCCGTTTGGGCTTTTTGGGGTTTCTAGACCGACTCTTGGCTTTGCAAAGAGGACATATAGGTGCATTCCGGTGAATTTGCTGGTGACAGGACAAACAAGCCTGGTGGGGGAGGGGCACAGGATAAAGAAAGTTAGTGCATATATTCATCTAGACCATGGCTCCTCAGGGACCCAGAAAGCAATTGTGATTTTCCATCAGGATGGAACAGTAATCAGACTCCAGGATAGAGATTAGTGCTCTTGGATATCATAGAAGATGAGGTAAAGGAAAAAACTCAGGTCAGAGAAGGGTGTTGAAAAATATATGTAAATTTTGGAAATAAGGCAAAATGAGGACTTAGCATTATACTACACTGCTGTCTCTAACAGACTGACTCATGATTATTTAATATTCTGGGGAGGGGTTAGTAAACTTTTTCTAAAAAGGCCAAAATAAGAAATAGTCTAGACTTTTGATACTATATTGTTTTGTTGCAACTACTCAACTCTATTTTATGTTAAGATGCCTATAAATCCTAGCTTTGCAGAAGGCTGAGATCTGAGGAACAGAATACAAAGCCTATGCAGAAAAGTCTGTGAGATGCTTATTTTCAATTATCTGGCAAAAAAGGCAGAAGTTGAGGTATGGCTTAAGTGGTAGAGCCTCACCCCTAAACAGAAAAAGCCAAGTTGAATACCTCAGTTCAGTCCCCAGTATGGGCACAGAAACAAAACAACAACAAAAAGATACAATATATAAATATACAGGCATGAATGTGTGCTGATAAATCTTTAACAAAAACAGGGATCAGGTCTGACTTTGCCTGTATATTATAGTTTGCTGAGCCTAGGATCGAACAGAATGTCTCTTTGTTTAACTGTTTACTATTGATCAAACTGTGTAAGGTTATTAGGATAACCTGTAGATGGATTTTGCCCGGTAATGATACAAATGAGTTCTTTTGGGGTGGTGGATAACCAAATTGCCCCATAGGAAATAAATCAGTTTTGTATCTAACTTTGCAAATTTATTTCAGATTTCCTTTGTTTTCTTAACGATATAAATATCTGCTCCTCAACTATTTTGGGAACATGCCTTCTGATCCTGGTGGCTCCATCATTGATCCATGCTAACTATATATTTGTGTAAATAATTATGTCTGCAACATTTGAAACATTTCAGCAGGACTGACCTATCTCCCTTAATTTGAATACATGTAGGAATATGGAGCAATAAAAATCACTGAGCCCAATTTAGCAGTTCCCTAGCATCCCAAGAGAAGGCTATTAAAAAAAAAATAAGGCCCAAAGCCCCACACCCAGAATTCCATGGGCGTCCTATAGGAAGATACTTGGATTCTTTCACAGCCCCCACTCACCTTCATAGGTGGAGGCTGTTGTCTGAAGGTGGCTGTCTGCCGGGTGTCCTGCTTCCGGGCCACTTGGAGTTGCTGGGCAGCAGCAGCTGCAGCAGCCAGAGACTCAGGGATGGGAGGCTCTTGAGGCTCTGTCTGCCATTCTGCTTTCTGCTTCTCAAAGTAACTTTGGAGATAAAAGACATTGGCTGAATCATTCTGAAAGCAAGAAGAACCTTCCCCCTCTAAAGTATCCAGGCCACTGAACTAGGGTTTGGATTATGGTTCTCTCTAGAAAGTGATAACACCCTCTTGAGCTCAAAGATCCCGTCTCTTATCAGCTAGGAGCATATCCCTCATGCCCTTGACTTTAAGAAGCCTAGTGGATTAGGTAACCTCAGACAAAGCTAGCCTGGGCAGAAAAGTCCATATGACTTTTATCTCCAATTAACCATCAAAAAGCCAGAAATGGAGTTGTGACTCATGTGGGAAAGCACTAGCCTTAAACAAAATTTAAGGGACAGCACTTACGTCTTGAGTTCAAGCCCCAGTACCATCACCAGAAAGAACAAATGGATGGAAGGGACAAAGGAAGGAAGGAAGGAAGGAAGGAAGGAAGGAAGGAAGGAAGGAAGGAAGGAAGGAAGGAAGGAAACAAGGAAGGAAGATCTGATTATGAAACCTTGCTCTGGTTAGCAAAATCCTTTAAGATATTTATTCCTATCCTTCAATCCATGCCTATTTTCACTATTCATTTTTTTTGTCGGTTGCAGGGCTTGAATTCAGGGCCTGAGTGCTGTCCCTGAGCTTTTTTGCTCAAGGCTAGTGCTTTACCACTTTGATCCACAGCACTAGTGCCAGTTTTCTGGTGATTAATTGGAGATAAGAGTCTGATGGACTTTTTTGCCCAGGCTGGCTTTGAACTGCAATCCTCAGATCTCAGTCTCCTGAGGGCTAGGATTATAGGTATGAGCTACTGATGCCCGGCTTCACTACTCCTTTTATATACCCCTCAGCATCAGAAGCTTACCACTTCCACAGGCAACCTGTTCTACCTTTAGGAAGCTTTCCTTCTGAGTAGCGAGGATTATAGGTATGAGCTACCAGTGTCTGACTAGTCATAGGTAAAATTTTATGTTGTCAAAATCAAAAAGAAATTTAAAAGGCAGCTATTAATTCTAGTCTAATCATCCAGGCTAGCCCAGCCCACAGACTTACCTAACATCATGCAATGAATCAACCATTGATAGGCCTAGAATTAGGACAATATATCCTGGCTTACAGGCCAGGTTTTGGGTATAAATACATAGTGCCAGTGTTTGTCTTTGCTTGCATGTGTGTCAGTGTTATTGATGTATTGTGGGTATAGAAGGAGTCAGCTTACTCCAAGGAGAGCTTCTCTTCCTCCTCACACAAGTCAGGAAGCCGCTGCAGGCCCAGAGTCATGCGCAGAGCATCTACATGTTCTTTCAGTGGCTTATACTCATCATGTAGTCGCCGGGTAGACTCTAGAAGCTTGTTTAGGTCATTCTCAGATTGTTTGATGGTGTTTTCCATCTGGAAAATAGAGTAGGATGACAGGGGGAAGAAAAAAATCCCAAAGTTCTTGAAGACACTTTATGACTGAGCAGATAACAACAAAAACTCTAGGGCCAGACCAATTTATGTTCAAGTTTTGGATCTGTCATGATCTTTCTGTCAAGCCTCAGCTTCTTCATCTCTGCAGGTGTATTAGTGTATTATCCCATGCAATGTTGACGAAGATTTAATGATTCATACAAAGCACTAATATAAGGACTAACAGAACAAAGACTGAATGAATGATAACGTTCAAACACACCTCAGAGCTGTGAAGGCCTTTATAGCTCCTTTAGGTCAGAGACATAAGCTTCAATGAGAAGAAAAGACTTCTCTAGGGAAATACTTTTTTTTGTTCTGGTATTGGAGCTTGAACTTAGGGCCTGGGAGTTGTACCATAGCTTTTTCTTTTCTTTTTTTGCTCAAGGTTGGTGCTCTATCAACTCTACCACAGCTCTGCTTCTAGCTTTTTGCTGGTTAATTGGAGATAAGTGTCACAAACTTTTCTGCTTTGGTTGGCTTCAAACTCCTATCCTTAGATCTCAGGTTTCTGAGTAGCTAGGATTACAGCATAAGTCAACATCTCCCAGCTGGGAAATACTTCTTAAGGACAAAGTCTGTACAAAACATAGAGTTTCTTTCTCCTAGACCAGTGATTTTTCTCCTAGGTCAATTGTTCTCAAAATGCAGTTGCCAGATCACCAGCACCAGCATCATTGGGAAGTCAGAAATGTAACTTCTCAGGTTCCAACCAAGCCATATTGAACTGGAAATTCTCAAGTAGGTAGAGCCTAACAATTTGTTTGTTAATAGGCCTATCCAGATATTGAGTCATTGGCTCTTACTCCATCAAAAGTAATTTAAATGGGGCTGGGAAGGTGGCTCAGTGGTAGCTTGCCTTGCATGCATGAGGCACTGGGTTCAATTCCTCAGTACCACATAAGCAGAAAAATCCATGGCGTTGAGGATTAAGTGGTAGAGTGCTAGCCTTGAACTGAAGAGCTGAGAGACAGTGCCCAGACCCAGAGTTCAGGCTCATGACCAACAACAAAAAAAGCTAGTTAGGAGGCTGAGATCTGAGAATCACAATTAAAGCCAGCCCAAGCAGAAAAGTCCATAAGACTCTTATCTCCAGTTAAGCACCAAAAAGCAGGAAATAGAGCTCTGGCTCAAATGGTAGAGTGCTAGCCCTGAGCAAAAAAGCTCAGGGACAGTGCCCAGGCCCTGAGTTTAAGTCCTAGGATAAGCACAAAAAAGAAAAAAATTAAAATGAAAAAAAGTAGTTTAAAGGGGCGGGCACTAGTGGCTCACACCTGTAATCTTAGCTACTCAAGAAGCTGAGATCTGAGAACAGCAGTTCAAAGCCAGCTTGGGCAGGAAAGTATTCGAGATTCTTACCTCCAATTAACCACCCAAACCTAGAAGTGGAGCTGTGGCTCAAATAGTAGAGCTCTAGCCTTGAGCCAGAAAGCTCAGGGGCAGCTCCCAGGCCATGATTTCAAGCTCTAGTACCAGCTCCCCAAAAATTTATTTAAAGAAATGTCATAGGCTCTAAGGATTGGAAAAACACCTTATAGGTTTTTGGATAACTCCAAAAAAGGGAAGCTTATCACCTTGTCACGAGAGTCTCCAAAAGGCAAGTTCTAATAAGAGAGCCTCACTTTGATAGGTATGCTGAGATAATTTGTTCAGTCTGGTTGGAAGCTTTAGAGTACCTTAAGATATACCCTCAGAGCCAGGTGTCTGCTCTGCTTTTCTTCATGACAAGTTCTTGACTCTCAGATTCCAGAATAAAAGCATAACCAAATGAAAGAGCCCCTGGAGGTTAGTGAACCCCTCGTACAATGCATAGACAATAAAATGAGGCCCAGAGTGAGAGGCCTTTCCAGGGAACTCCTGGATTGTTGCACTGTACAATGTCCTGACACATGGTCCCTCAGGATGGCCACAACCACATCCCAAAGAAAGGCCATACATTCACTGCTATATCTTCCTTAGCCAGCCCCATACCACATTGATATCAGCGTGGATGAGTCGAAGTTCCTCCACATGGGCCATCTTCTCCTGTAGCAGTAGGTCCATCTCTTGCTTGTATTCCTTCAGGTGCCTCTCTTCTGACTCAAGTGCTTCAAACTCTGCCTTCAAACGTGCCTTGATCTTCTCCATTTGCAGGGTCTTATTCCTGAAATTTCCCCCAAGCAGGAAACAGGTCAGCAGAAGAAGGGAGAAAAATGGAAATAGAGAACATAGTTATGCCCTGAGACAGTGCTATCTGCCTATACCATCATTCCAAACATTCCTCTCTTGGGCAGAGTCAAGTAGAAACCATCCCAAAAGAAGTCAGAAGATGTTTTCTTTTAAGAAAAATGCTCAATGTTCACAAATGGGGTTAATTGTGTACCCTTAGGATATTTTCAAATGAGGCGTGTAGGCCTCACTTATCTGTGGCATTTAGTGGACGCGATCTAGAGATATTAAATAGATACTTGATACACAGGAAAGTCACACACTACAGAGAACTCCCATAAAAGTTGCCAATAGTGACCTTTGTAGAAACTCTAGGAGGCACTAGCCAATAAACTTTCTTTTTTTGGGGGGAGGGGGGTCCAGTCGTGAGGCCTGAACTCTGGGCCTGGGCACTGTCCCTCAGCTCTTCAGCTCAAGGCTAGTGCTCTACCACTTGAGCCACAGCACCACTTCCGGCTTTTTTCTTTTTGCTTATGTGGTGCTGAGGAATCAAACCCAGGGCCTCATCAAGCAAAGCAAAAGGTCTACCACTGAGCCACCTTCTCAGCCCCATAGCCAATAAACTTTCTACAGGGATGAATTTATTTTTATTTTATTATTTTTCAGTGCTGGTACTGGGGCTTGAACTCAAGACATAGCACTCTTGCTTGTATTTTTGTTTTTGTTTTTATTTTTGGCTCAAGGCTTCCACTTCCAGCTTTTTGGTAGTTAACTCGAAATAAGAGTTTCAAGGATTTGTCTACCCAGGATAACTTCAAACCATGGCTATTACCAGTTTTTATTTGAACCTGTTGGGCAACAGAATGGTTTTCTTTTGTTTCTTAGTCAAGAGTGGCTTGATCCAGAAAGTTCTGTGAGAAGATATGGAATGGACAGTCACATGTGCACCATGGGAGCATAGGAAAGGAGAGAGCATACCCATTTAGGTATGGGAACAGATCACATAGAACACCATGATCCTCAGATAGCCTCCTGAGTAGCTAGGATTATAGGTGTGTGTCACGTGTGTGACAAGATGGAAATCTTTTTAGCTGTGCTTTCTTTAACAGTAGCCCTAGGCATAAGTGGCTACTGAGAACTTGAGATGTGGCTTGTGCAACTGAGGAACTGAATTTTCAATTTTAATTCATTTTCATTAATGTAACTTTAAAAAACATATGTAGCTGATGGTTCCCATGGACAGCACAACTCTAGACTTCACTCAGTTTCGGAAGAGAATGGGGACGTGAATTATTATGAATTACTTCTGTCTCTAATAAAACCTTGTTTATAATTGTTAAATCTGGAGTACATTTCCTCTGTCTCAGTAGTGTCACATCTAGGCGTTTATATTAATGCAATAATTCAAAAAGGCAAAAGTCAATAGATGATAGACAAGCAAATCTGGAATGTTTGTAATATAGAAATTGCTAATGACATGTTTGTTAAAAGAAACTATATACCTTAAGTTGTGATTATACTACACTGAGCTTTTAAGTTCAAAGTATACATGAGGTTTCAAAGGGGCCTACATAAGGGAATGCAAGATTCTAGAAGGAGGTCCCCTCAAGGCACATTACTATTTCTATACTGGACCCCTATTTCCCTGTTCTCAAGACCTGCCTAAACATTGATCCTTTACTCATACTTAGTACATTCTTTCTTCTGCCTCAATGCCTGGTATGCCCTCTGTACCAGCCTATCTCATGGGGTTCCAGCTCTTCACATTGCCCTCTGGCTCCTAATATCAGCCAGCTTCTGTCTTTTGTTTTTAGATTTTTACCCAGCCAGGCCTTGGGCCATGATTCTCCTACGTATGCCTCTCACACAACTGGGGTTATAGCAAAATACCACCATGTCCAACTGACTTAGATGGAGTCTCACTCATTACCTTTTGCTCTGGGATAGCTTTGAGCCATTATCCTTTAGATATCTGTCTTACAAATAGGTGGGATCACAGAGCTAGTAAATCAGATATTGGGATTTGAAGCTAAAGATCTCTAATACCGAATCCAGTTCTTATAGACTAAATATGAAATGTTGCTCCACAGAACCATGTGTTCAATGTTTGGTTCCCAGCTGGAGGAGATGCCTAGCTGGAAGAAGTAGGTCAGTGGAAATGTATCCTAGGGGTTATATCTTGCCTTGGACCTTGGTTGCCATGAGGTGAAGAACCTCCTCTGTCACACCCTCCTATTCCCATGAGGTTTTGTCTTGCCTTGGGCCCAGAAAGTGGAACCAGGGACTATGAGCTGAAACCTCTGAAACTGTAAACTAAAATAAATCTTCCCTTTAAGTTGTTTATGTCAGCTATTTTGTCATGGCAATGTAAAAGTTACCATCATGCCTACATATCACCCACTACTCCATATTGCTGTTGACAGATGTTACCAGGCTGAAGGGCGTAAACATATCAAGGATTTTTGGTACATCACTGAAATATCTTATATGTGAATGATATTGATTTTTTACTGGCCATAACTTTTTTTTTTTGGCGTTGTCTTGAGCTATGGGCCTGGGTGCTGTCCCTCAGCTCTTCAGCTCAAGGTTAGCACTCTACCCCTTGAGCCACAGTGCCACGTCTGGCTTTTTCTGTTTATGTGGTGGTGAGGAATCAAACCCAGGGCTCATACATGCAAGGCGAGCACTCTACCACTGAGTCACCTTCCCAGCCCCTAGCCATGACTTTTTAAGATACCCTCATATCTAGATTTCTATACTCTTCTAGGATATGAAGAGTATGGAAATGGCCTAGCTTGGTAGAGCATTACAGATGGGAAAACTGAGATTTCAAATGGTATATTATCTCAACTTGATGCATATCCCAGTGAAGGCAGGCTTGGGCTGAGAACTGCTTCTGCAGGAAATCACATCAGATTTAAAACTATACAAATACTGGTTCTGCCCTTGACTATTTGCCTTGGCCAATAATAACAACTACAATTATATTTTAACTATATTTATTCAACACCTACTAAGGACCAAAAATAGAGGGTTTACTTACATATTCATTCAAAAATATGTACTGAACAACTGTCATAAGCCATATACTATACTAGATGCTAGGGACAGACAGAAAGAGGACAATAATATATGGACAAGAAACTTCATCTAATGAGAAAATCCAACCCCTGGACACAGTTATATGTGGAACCACATGATAAGTTGTAGAAAGCAGATGCAGAATGCAATGGAAGGCTGAAGGATACAGTAGAGGTAGGAGAGCTGTCAGTGCCTGGAGGCATGGCTTAGCCATAGAGTACCTGCCTAAGCAACCTTGAGGCCTTAAGTTGAAACCTCAGTAGTGCCTCCTTAATGAGTCTGATCAGCCACAAAAAGGTTCCCTGACAATCTGAGGTTGTGGCATCTCCACTGAGATCTAAACAATTAGTAGGTTAGCTGGTGAGTGCAAGTAGACACAGAAAAGAACAGGCCAGAGTGAAAGCAGCATGAATAATGGCTCCAAAGCAGAAAAAAGCAAATAAACAGCTGGTTGCAGGTAGTTGACACCAGGAATCCTAGAAAGTCAGGAGGCTGAGTATCGCAGTTTGAAGCCAGTCTGGACAAGAAAGTCTTTGTGCTCTTAATTCTAATTAACTACCAAAAGCTAGAAGTGGAGCTGTAACTCAAATGGTAAAGTGACAACCTTGAGGGAAAGAGCTCAGGCTCTGACTTCAAGCCTCAGTACCAGTACAAAAAAAATTCCAAAGACCAGCATGGCTGAATCATCTACTAAAAAGGGGCATAGTTGAAACTAGGAAGTTTGGTAGAGCTCAAAATGCAGTTTGGAGCTTAGGATGAGTTAGTCCTTTTGTTTTCAGAGAAAGAGGGAATCTTAACATTTTAAACAGCATTAAAATAACATGGGCATAATCACACCTACTTGCCAGCTCACATAATAAAGTTTAATGTACTAACACAATTCTCAAGCTGACAATATGGTACATGGTGGGAAGTCAATATGATAGTGCCCAATGCTTGTGCCATGTCTACCTCCTTCACCACAGAGGTTTGGATTTTGTTACAAAGAGCTTAAATCAAGCAGTGTGTGTGTGTGTGTGTGTGTGTGTGTGTGTGTGTGTGTATTATGATTACAAAGATCAAAATAATAATCATTAGCATAAGCTACCTAGTAATTTCAGTGGCATGCTACAGGGGGCCAAGACAAGCTTTTCTAATTCAGAATAAAGTCAATTAACATAGCAACAAGTACCATTAAATGAAACTAGAGATGAGTGGTTTCTCCTGCTGATACTTAGTAGAAATTAGCATAGCACATAGCTATCTCCACTTGGATGAATGCCTTTTATCTACTGCTCCTCCCTCTATGTCTACTGTTCCCAGAACTTCATCTTGTCAGGCAGGAGACACTGCAATCCCAGATTAAATAAAATTACACCACTTTTTTCATGGTGGAGTCAGAGTTAACTGCCGTCTGTGCATGGTAAATTAAAGGCATGAAGTCTTCCTCAAAGGATCAGGACACAGTGGCATCTCCTCTCCCTGTCTGTCATCAGCAAGAGGGTAGTGTTAACCTTTGCCTGTGAGTACATGTTAGCTGCAATGTCGACATCATTATAGACATTCTCAATTGTATGACAACAAATACTAACAACCAAATAATTTCACATTTCTTTCCTTTTTCTTTATTCTTCACTTTTCTTTTTTTTTATTCCTTTTTTGTGCCAGTATTGGGACTTGAACTTAAGAGTCTCAAGCAAGTTCTTATGTGGCATTTTTCCTATCAAGGCTGGTGCTCTACCACTTGAGCTACATCTCCACTCCCAGCTTTTAGGTGGTTAATTTGAGTTAAGAGTCTCATAGACTTTTCTTCCTGGGCTGGCTTCAAACTTCAATCCTCACTCACATCTCAGCCTCCTGAGTAGCAACAATTACAGGCTTGAGCGCTCATTTCACATATTTCTTAGTGAATGTAAATAATTTTGTGATTTTAAT